TTTGTTTGTATTTTGTATTTTTCTTTATTTCTGTCATGAAAAGAGCATGTGGTGTGCAGAGAGCAGATCCAAATGCAGAACTCATGAGACAGAGGTTTAGCTAAAAACCACAGCTTTTATTTGCTGGAAAAAGGCTTAGAAACAAAAGAAAAGCACACACTGGGACGGAAATTGCACAAGTGAACTCGACACAGGAAAAACAGAAACACGAAAGAGAACAAATGTAACATATAACAAAACAAAAACCGGGAACTAGAAAAAACAAACTCAGATGCACTAGAGAACACAGACTAAAAGACAGAACTAATACAGAACTAAACTATATGAAAATCTCTTAAAATAAAAAAGAATGAATCACAATACCACAATACACTGTAAAACCCTGCTGAAGACCCAGGACTATGACACAAACCAGTCACCTTTAATGTGTCTTCACTTTGTAGCATGGGAGAGAGGAGACCCACCCATGAATAAATATCTCAAACCATACTGGATTTATCTTCCTCATTGTCTCCTTCCTAACTCAGCCATCATCATTACACAAGCCAAAGTACTGGACACTCAAAATTAAATTCATTGTGTGTTCAGATATTATAGCAGTGAAGATTATTACAGTAGTTGCTGTGACTAAAATCACCCCACCCTCCTATTAATTTCACCCATTTGTCTGAGTGAATAAAATGTTGAATCCGATTTTTTCAGGTAATTAAAATCTCTGCCGTCAATAAGTTATATGAGTCAATTTAATGTTTTAGCTGTTAGGAGTATTAAAAAAAAATCCACCTTCCTTAAATTTGTTATAATGGAGGAAATTGTCCTCAAAGTACAAGAGTTTTTTTTTTTCTATCAGGTGTTTAACGTGCTCTTTAATGCTATAAAATTTGACACTTTTGGAATAAGCCTTAAGAGGTCATTGGGGGAACTGCAATTTTTGGCACTTTGGCATTGGCTTTACTTTTCAGCACAGTATGATGTGTCTTTGACAAACAAACAATTCTAAAAGTTCAGTCAAAAAATGTTTGTTGCTTAGTGCTCAAACTTGACAGCTTTATATGAGGGTAATTCTGTAAGTTTATAAAATTAAATACTGCAAATTAATTTCTTTTTTCTTTTTGCTTGTTTGTGTTGTTATGGTCATTAAAAAAAGACTTTTTACATTTTTTCTTCAGCCTGTACACTGCTTCCACTTTTCTTTCCCCAAGAGCTTTAGGTCGCCTGCTTCACAGAAAAACAAAATGTGTACAGTGAAAATTACTCTGAGGACATATAGACAGGATAAAGCAATCAGTTGCTATCCTCAAAGCTGAGAAAAGTTTATTTTAGTATTTGCATCACTATCGTTTGTTTGTTGTTCTTGTTTGTCCCCCCCTTGCCTTGTGTGGTTCTGGTCACCACCCTAAAGGGCATGTCTCAGGACTTCTTAAGCACAGCTGTTCCCTCGCTTTGTTGCCATCCAACTACAATTCTCTAGTACGAATGACATTCCAGTGTTGTTGCTGTAGATCCTAGTGGTGTTCATTAGTAAATCAATGTCACATTTACTCCTGTCATCCATATAGAAGAGGTGGGTAACAATTCTTTAATTTTGTAGTTGGTATCTGTAGCCAGTCTTGTCAATGCTTTGGCTGACATGGTTTAGGACTTTGCACCACATCCCAGGCGATATGTATTCCCGATGAAGGCTCTTACAGTATGGTCCTGTTGATCTTGTATAGTTCAAGGCATTCCATGTGTGAGGCATTGAATTATAGGCTTTTCAGTAATCAGTCATTGCACAGGTTGGTCAGTCTGGTCTTGCAGTTTCAGGTAACTGCTCTATCTACCAGTAGATGGTGTTTTGCCCCTCTGGTGTTTCTACCATTTCCTTTCTGTTCCATGTGCATGACATAAGTCTACTATAATGCTTGACAGGAGCTTCCATATGGTACTGAGGAAGGTTATTGGCTGGTAGTTGGATGGGACTGGTCCCTTCTGGGGTCCTTAACGATCAGGACTGTTCCGGCCTTTAGTTAGCCATTCTGGGTACCGCTCATCAACTAGCAGCTGGTTCATTTGTACTGCAAGACACTCATGGAATGCAGTCAGCTTCTTCGGTCAGTGGACGTTGTTGGGATTTAAATATATATTCTTAGTGCTTGTTTGCTAATTATATTGTTTTATGTGTTTTAATAAGAGAGAGCCAACTTTGAGTGTAAACTAGGTCGCAGGCTGACAGGAAACTGCATGCTTTTGCAGAGCACAGGAGGTGCAGACAGAAAGCGAAACTAAGCAGAGTGTTTTGATCGAAACTATATGTGAAGTAGCAGAACTATATATACACATTGTTAAATTCAGTTCTTTGCATTCTTTTGGCAGCCAGACACTGGTGGAGGCAAGCTACAGTTGTAGCCACAGCTGCCCTGGGGCAGACTGACAGAAGCGAGGCTGCCATATCGGCCATCGGCCCCTCTGGCCATCACCAGTAGGCGGTAGGTTAAGTGTCTTGCCCAAGGACACAACAACCGAGACTGAAACCGTTTCGGAGGCCTGCCGTGCGGAAAGCAGTGGCAACAAGAAGACAGGTCCAGAGGTCAACTGTGTGGGAAATGCTGTAGGACAAGACGACGCAGAGCCAGACAAAGCAGGACCAGATGGTGGCAGAGCAGCCCCTGGCACCTGAACGGGCGACGACATGGCTGCTGTAGGTGGATAAGGCTGTTAAGCTGGCGATTGAGCTGACGATGATGGTGGTACTGATGGCTGGATGGACCCTCCTGAGCCTCCTGAGAACAGAAGAAAACTGGGCAGGCTCACCAGAGCCCCCAGCCAGCATTGATGGCAGGGTGAAAGCCGAGGACAGCTGTAGTGACTATTCCGAGATCCCAACAGAGACAGATGGCTGGAGCGGCTCTCTAGTGTCTCCAGCGGCAACAAACGACTTGCACAGCTCTCCAGAGCCCCCAGCAGGAACAGAAGCAGGACCAGTACCTGCGAGACCTCTGGTTGAGGTGGAGTTGGCTGGAACTGTGCAGACCATTTGCTCTGTTCAGGCAGCAACAGCAAAAAAAACAGGTGAAACAGGCTGTGCAGACGCTGTTACCTCCAGGGGTGCAGAATCAGCTGAGTTTGGCAGCTCTGCCTCTGGGGAAGCGGTAGGGGAACTTTCAATCTTTCTAAAAAACATTTCTTTGGCAACAGAAACAGTCTAGGTAGAAATGGTTTCTTGCTCAGAATGACCAGGTGTCCTGGCAGATTTCTTTTATTTATCGATCACTTTAGTAATTGTAACATCACTTTCTCACTTAGTTATATGCATTTAGAATAACACCACAAATGGGCCTTATGCTGTATCATATACACACACACAGTGGGGCCATTCCAGCCAAACACCCTAGTGTTTGCCTCAGTTACATAAAAGGCTCATTTGACATGTCACATAACTCACTGGCCGGATCGTCAAAGACGAAGAGGAAAGAGGAAGAGGAAAATGTGATGGTGATCTATAAAGATTATAAGAAGTATAACAGCAAGAGGCACGTGAGAAGTGGTAGCAGAAAATGATTAATCTTGTAAATTCATAATTTCATACACTTACTTTAGCACTCAGTGCATGATCAACACTGTGATTTATTGCCAACAAGAAAGCTGCACATTGGTGAGGTTTAAATCTTTCTACTGATAGATTTACACATTTTATAATCTGCTATGACACTGACATCAAATGACAAGCATGAGTCAATAATATAAGTCACATCAAAGTTAAGAGATGGAAAATATGATTGGAGGGGGTCTTATGAGTTTGAAATACCTAAAGTGAGAACCAATGTTAAGTATAGATGTGTGTCAGTTTGTGATTTTCTTTGTCATTTTTCAGGAAGAATTTAAACATTTGTATCATTCAACGTTATGGAAATTTGGTTAAGGATTTGATTATTCCTATGGGGTAAAGGATAGGATAATTATAAGCCACAAGGCTTCAGCCTATTCCTTTTTTGGTTGTATGATTGAGTACTTTTATGTAAAATGATAATCTGTGTTGTTGTTGTTGACCGAAATAAATTTCCCTTCAATTTCACTTTCAGTTCAGTTCAGTTCATTTATTTCAAACATTTCAAACATGAGCCTTCACAATCATTACAAAATATCATTCCATTATTTGTTTGAAAAGGAGTAGGTAGAAGTATTTACTTATTTGTCCCTACCCCCTCAAGTTTTACCTCTCA